GCGTAACGCGGCGGCCGCTCCTTCCCCTCGCCCTGGGGGGAGCTCGACAGGCCTCGGGGGTTGTGGGCACCGGCCCCTGTGCCGCCGCCCGGTTCGTGACCCTCACGGTGCCTTCGTAGCCCTGGCTGTGCCTCGCTGGAGGTCTGTGGTGGTGAGCAGAGCAGTGTAGGTATTGCTCCATAACCTACAGGTTCTCCGCAGGCCCCTTGTGCAGCTGTCACTGGGCACCCGTCTGCCAGGATCTATGTTAAGTATTAGTACTTCTTCAGAAACTACAACTTTTGAGATAAAGAGCAAAATATACCCGTGCTCCAATGCAATGTTTTCTTTTATCACCAAGGGCATTGCTGCAATAGGGCCTCCCTTGATGATGTGATCTGAGAACCAGTTTCTGTGAGCCAAGCTGCAGCCAAAGCACTGCGTCAGGTGCCCTTGGGAACCGTGTGTGTTGTGGTGCCGACTTCACAGATAAACGTTCCCTTTGCTCTTTCAAGTGTGCTCAAGATCTTTGCTAAGTTCAAACAGGCAGTCTCAGTAAAGGATGTGATATAGCTAAATGCGTTACCAGCTGTACAGCAGGTAATCCTTCTGGTTTTCAACCCAGGTAGTAACAGACCAGTGCGATGATTGCTCTTTCTGAAATCTCAAAGATTACTTGCTATCCAAAAACTGATTAAAATATCCAAATCAAATCTGTGTCACTTCCAAACTCTTTCTCCTCTACTTCTAAAATACTACATCAAAGTGCAGTTTTACGTTGTAGGATAAACTGGACTGTAGAAGGCAGACACCAGTTTATTCATGGAGTTTCTGGAAGGTTTTTTTGTTGTCCATGGTAGCGTTTTACAATGTTAAAACGATCACATGTGGCGTTACAACTTTAAGTGATCATGTTTAGATCCTACTTGAAAAACTGCAAATACATTCTTGAAAGCAGACTTCAAGCTGTCGCTGGCGGGTTGTGTTCTCGGGCGTACGGTGGCTGGGGTGAGGTTGCTGCAGTTAGGTTGGACAGAGGTTTCTTTCCTAGCTCTTGCGGACAGCACCCGCCTGGGTGCAGCCCGGTGCATTTCCAGTTCCTGCAAGAGCTGTTCTGCTTGGGTGTCACCGGCTTCTGTTTCCTAATTCTTCCGTAAAGGGATTTAAAACTGCCTTGAGAAGCCTGCTATCCTCTCTTATCTGAAGTTTCACAGACTTTGGAAGTGCTGTTCTAAGTGATGCAGAAGTGAAACAATGGATTTTTAGCCCGCCTGGGTGCAGCCCGGTGCATTTCCAGTTCCTGCAAGAGCTGTTCTGCTTGGGTGTCACCGGCTTCTGTTTCCTAATTCTTCCGTAAAGGGATTTAAAACTGCCTTGAGAAGCCTGCTATCCTCTCTTATCTGAAGTTTCACAGACTTTGGAAGTGCTGTTCTAAGTGATGCAGAAGTGAAACAATGGATTTTTAGTTAGAACAGTTAGGGAAAAAAATTCACTGGTTTCCAGGATGTAAAAGAAATAAGCATGAGTGAGTTCGCTTGCTAGTCCTTGCTGTCAGTGACGTTCCCTCGGGAGGCTGGCCCAAGGTGTAACCAGAGCCACTGGGTGGGAATTCGGCATCCCCATGGTCAGAAGTGGTCTCGGGAAGGAAACCCATGCACTTGGTCAATAGAGAGGCTTACAGGGCTCCGTGGGAGTTACCACATGATGCTTTACTGATGAAGTAGTGTCAGGTTTGTTGGAGATGTTTTGCAGCGATTACCAGCTGTTGTTGATGTGATGCTAGAAAATTCACTTTCATATTTCTGTTAAGGAGGCACGAGTAAGTAGGGATGTCTGTAAAAATAGTTGGTTTCAGAAGATTGTCTTGTGTCCAGTGCAGTTTTTCATTAAAGCCTCGTGTCTGCTCACAACTGATTATTTTCTAGGGAATCCTTAAAATAGTATTTTTCTCTTCCTCGTGGCTTGTGAACAGCCGTTGCCAGAGCTTTCAGTGTTCTACTTTTACAGCATTCTTAATACGGGCCTGAGAGTTTTCCCCTTAACTCAGAGGAGCTCCAAGACGTGGGTGTCTCAGCGTTAACAACTCTTGATACCAGTGCAGAGCCACTGTGGCTTTTTAGTGCTTTGATTTGACACTCCTGTGAATTATGTAGTTACTTTTCCTGTGTGATAAGCCTAGATTTAATATCTCTATTCAAATATTACCAGTGTGCCTTTACAATTAGCTGTCTATTTTTTCCCCATTTTAAACGTGTTTCCTTTTAAGCGCTGCCAGCTGATACGGAGGCTGTTCTGGGTGTATTTGGATTGCTCTGTTTCTCAAACCACTTTTTTGTGGTGATGGAAATTTAACCTATATTAATGCCGCTTCAGCTGTGTTTGCAGAGTAATCCTGTTCTCGCTTTAATTATTTGAATCTTGCCTTTTAAAGACCTTTCTGTAATGCATAAAGACTTTTATTTATCCATAAATTTAGTAGATGATAAAGTTTAATACAACTAAATGCTGTGAAGTTATTCTCACCTCAGTAACCTGAGCACTTCTCTTACATCACTCTGTTTGCCCTGATTTGCAGGTTATTTGAGTCGATCATTTTTCTAAGCCCCATAGAAGCTTTTCTCGACCGGTATTTTGCTCAAGCAATAAATAAATCTGCTGACGTGTCTGTTCTGCTGTGTTTGCTTATTCTTGACCTTTGCTTTTTAGCCATGCAAGGGACAGTTTCAGTTGTGACGTTGTGTAACTGGGTGTTTACGCACTGACAAGCGAATTTGATATTTATTCTTAAAGTCTGTGCCTGTTGCAGCTGATCAGTTGTTCAGAGCAACGTAGGATGTGGGTAAGGGTTTCACTTAGTCGCGGAGAAACCAAGGACTCCTAGTGCTTTGCTACCTTCAGCCAGGGAAGCAAATATGGTCTGGAGCAGACATAATGAGAATATCCTTTCCTCCTCTTTCCATGTTATCTTTCTATGATACACCTGTTGCTGCGTAGTGGAGAAACTTTCTTCATTGCCATGAGTGTAATTGCTATGATAGGTGTCTGGATTCTGGTCTGGTACTGACTGACCTGGTGTTTTGGCTACTGTGTGCTGTGCTCCAGGGTCAGAGCTGCCCTAAAAGTCATTTTGTGACACCCCCACACACACCCCAACACACTGCTGCAGTGACTGTGGATAGCTGAACTCCAATGTCCCTGGATGTGAGCAGGGGTTATGCGCTCTGGTAGGAATTCGCTGGCTAAATGCTTCTAAGGATGTTGCCCTTTAGTCTTTCAAGAGGTTTTCACGCTAGATACTAATTCACTCTGTCAAACTGGTGCTTTTAGCGTGATTATCCTCACTGTAGATAATGAGGAAATTAAGATGAAAGCTAAGAAATTAATTGCTTGTGGCCGCACGGTGAACGTAGTGATCGCTTTGTTATTGTGCCCCAACGCGTCACTTTGGCAGTAGCGGCGGTTCCTCCCCTCTACTCCTGGGCACTCCAGATGTGCCACAGCTCGCCTGACACCCCCACCACGGCCGCTGGCTCGGAAGCAGCCCTGCCTTTGGTGGCAGAGGGGTTTTCGGGGGGCAGGAACAACTGAATTCATCAGTCCGTGCGACCCATCCTGGCCACTCGCTGCTTTGCCAGGGGTGAGCAGAGCAGCCTTGCGTGTTTTAACCAGATGACAAAGAAGGGGTATTCGTGGGGTAGCGGAGCTTCCTCCTGGTAGCAAGGGGTGTGCTGCCTGGGCGGTCGGCTGAAGTTGGCTGGCGGTGGTATGGCACTACTGGGGCGTTGGTTATAGTCACCCTGGCTGCTCTCAGCTGAACCTTCTCTCCTTGAACCTAAGCCGAAGGAATTCGGCTGTGGCAGCCTGTGCAGGACAGGACAGGAGGTCACGGAATGGCAATTCCAGTGCTTTGTGCTGAGCAGTTGTTTCCCATTGCAAGCCAAACAGGCAGTCCCTCTGCAGACAACAGGGGTTTATTTGGTATCAAACTTTGCTGGATTCAGCTTCATCTCTTACCACCTCTGCTTCAAACCCCGGTGGCTGGAGCACTGAGTCCATACCGACATCGCTGCCCTCCTGAAAGCGCCACCTTTTCCCACTTGAGAAGTTGTGAAGATCCCGTGTGAAATCTTCAGTGGACATCACACACCCCCACCAAGCCCTGCTTAAGATAGTCATTTTTACTTCTTGCAGGGGCTTCTGGCCACGTAGCATTTTCCAAGGGGAGGAAAAGGTCTTTGCTGTTGAATCAAAAGGTCTGGATTCTGTTTTCCATTTCTATGCTAATTTTCTAATACATTGTGGGGTCACTTAATTGGTCCATGATACAGTTTGGGTAAACTAAATGGGTTTTTGTTTTTCACCCAGGACTTTGAATTACTTTGAGTACCTATAAACATCTCAGTGTTTAATGTGCTGTTCTGAGAGATCCTAAATGCATTGTATTTTCTGTTTATTTCAGACTATAAGATTCAAGTATGTCCTTCATATTTGATTGGATTTACAGTGGTTTCAGTAGCGTATTACAGTTTTTAGGTAAGTTTTATTGTTTGGGTTTTTACCTTTCTGCTATTCATGTATAGAATGTCTGCTCACCTCTGTTATCTTCAAACATAGCTGCTGGTTAAATAATAATATTTGCCTTGGTGTATATTCAGTAATACTCAAACAAAAGTTTCACTTACCAATACCGAGTATTTCCAGAGTGTGCTCTCCACTCAATCCTGTGTTAATCCTTTAACGTCTTGGAAAAATGTCAATTTTTTTTCATGAATAGAATAGGTTTGATTTTTCTAATCATCCTACATTGAAGCTGGTGTAATTCTGCTGACTCTTACGGAGTTTCTCCTGATTTTTCTCTGCTGTAAAGAACTGAACTCAGTTATTTTTAGTTCAGTCTTTGCGCATGAGGATGTCACTTGAGAATCCAAATACGAGGGACTGTCTACAAAAAGTGAGTGCTGGGTGTCAAAGCCCTCGCTTATGTTCAGCAGCGTGTTACTGTGTGACCTGGTGTCGCTGAAATCAGTGTGACACATCACTGGCATCTGCTGAAGAGTCTCAGGAGACTGTTCCCTGGCTGAAAGAGTCCGCAATCTGTGTCGATCAAGGTGAAATGGTAGCTTGTGCAATACAGGAGGAGGGGAATAAAACCCCACCAACCAGGAGGCAAAGGAAGGTTAGGATACTAAAAAAACGAACGGAAGTTGCAGGTCGCTTGGGCAAAAGGCACAATTCACAAGTTCAAGGGATTTTATTGAAGTGAATGAAAAGCATTTGGGATTAAGGAATCATGGCAAGATGTGCCACCTGTGTTTATCAGTTGAAATTTTAAACTTTTTTGCTGAATGCTAGACCCTTGGCCTACTATCGAAATATTAGTCAGTGAAATTTTAACTCAGTTGACTAAGCTTTCTTATCTCGGACTTCGCCAAGCAGTGATTACAGTGAGCTGGCCCTCTTTTCCATTCCTGTGCATGCAAAGTCTAATTCTGGTGAAAGATACAGCAGCTGGAAGTAGGAAGTAGGATGGCTTTCAATATGTCCCTCTTATTCTAGAAGAGACTCTTTCTCTATAAGTAAGAATGAAAATTAACCTTAGAAGAAGGTTGGTTATAATGTTTGGGAGACTCCCTGCAGTTCCCTGTGCTGTCCTGTCCGCAGGCTGATGAGGTCGGTTTCTGAAGTACACCTTTGCACATATATACCTTTAGAGTGCACAGATAATCTTTGTCTTACATATATCTATAAAAACTGTGGTCTTAGTGTAGCTAATAGCTGAAGTATTGCAGCTTGTCCTTCTTGCATTTCCATGAAAGACAGACAATGTGACATGTTTCAGAGAAAGCAGCAGCACCTGATGGAGGAGCAAGGACTTCTGGATGTCCAGGCTGGGAGTGGCAAAAATAATATTGTTTTAGTGTGGTTTAATAGAATTTTGCTTAACTTGTAAGGTAAGCGTGAACTGAAATGTCATCTGTGACCTAAGTTAATGTATGGAAATGTTTGCCCACTCCTTTTTCTGTAAATATTAATATTTTCTTCTCCACTCTGATAGCTAATACATATATTTGGGCATGTGAGAAGGTGAGTTTGGGAAGCAAGGGTTGTCGTATTTGAAAGAACTGTGAAGACACTCTACCATACCTGTAGTAATAGGGATCATTAATGAAATAAGCTGAGGAATGTGGAAGAATATTCACTCGGGCAGGTTACAAAACATCCTGCTGGCATGTGATCCCAGAGATTAGCTTAAAGGCAGGGGGAGAGGTGAGCAAACAGCAGCGGTGTAAAGGTCGGCCAGGCAGAGGCACGTATGCCCCTGTAACGCTGCGGCATCGACGGGGCCGTCCAGCGGCCGCGCAGCGGCATCGCTTAAAATCCCACCAAATAAAACACGTGTGAGGATAACCTGTTAGATCCAAAGGAAAAATGCGGGCTCCAGAAACTGATGGGGCTGGCTCCCTCTACCCACTACCCTCCTGATCGCGGGAGGCTGTTAATCTGCCCTTCGGACAGTGACCAACCTCTGGCCTGTGGCCCCGAGGCGCGGCGTGCCGCTGCGTAGTCTGCAGCATGGGTTGTGCTTGCAGGGGAAGGTGTGGTTAAGGATAGGGGCTGCAGCGGTGGGGTGCTTGAGCTTTAACAGTAAAATCTCATTCTGTACTTCACAAAATGCTTCTGTGTCATCTCAGTGGTGTGAAAATAAACTTTTCATCAGCATATTACAAAGTACCATGGTACTATAACATAGAGTAAAAGATCCTGGGGTTGGAAAAGCCTCCCACATTGCAATATTTGGCTGTATTTTGCAATTCTTTTAACACAGTAAGAAGAGAGAATTCTGTTAGGGACATAGCTTAGTGCTGCTTTTCAGGAAGTGTAATTCCAGCGTATACGTCTGTATGTTTTCTCCCGCTCTGTTGCAAGTGTTTTGCCCCCTTCGGCACTTGGCAGTGGGGTTGGTAGTGACTCCTAAGGGGTGCACAGTGCGTAGTATCCAGCTACAGGTCTTTGAAGAAGGAATAAGGAAAGATTTTCCTCCTTTGAAAAGGCAAAGTTGAGACTTCAGTAGTTTTTTTCAGTACAGAACATGATTCTTTCAAAGAATTGATTTGTCTTAAAGTTTTACTTTGAACGTCGCTCAGTTTGAAGCAGTGAAAAATAATCCTGGCACGGGGTGTAGTGTTGGCAAGTTATGAAAGGATTGCCCTTTGATAATCTCAAACTTAAGAAAATATGGTGTTTGTGTTCTAAACATCCTTCCTCTCCTTCACAGCAGCTGTTGCGTTTACAGGGGTTACAAGTAGAGGGGAAATAAAGGGGGAAAGGCATTTTTATGAAGATGACAATCAGTGAAAATAAAATTTCTCACGCCTGTTGTGAAAGCTTTAGCACGTGCCAGCAAGTGTGGCAGAATGGCCCTGACAATGCCATGCAGGATATATCCATGCAGGTCAGCTGGGGGGGTGGGTGAATGTTACTCTTTGAGAAAATAATACATGAACCACCATAAAAGAATTCATACTAATTAGGATTGTTGACCATGAAACCAATTTCTTTGTCATATACTGCTTGAGGTCTGAACTTCCTTTTTTTTTTTTTTCTTTCAAAGAAATTTTTTTGTCATAATTGGAGGTAGCTGAACAAAATACTCTCTATTCAGGTCCAAGTCGGTCCGTATTTTAGAGCTTGCTGGTAATGTAAATGCATTTACTCGAGTGACACTTCGACATCCATTGTTTGCCCCTCCCTCTCCTGTTAAGCACCCCGTAAGCTGCACCGGGTGCACAGGGCAGCAGGCCCATGGGTAAGTGTGAAGGTAGTTTGTACGAGTAGGAGAACATGGATAAAGGGCACTGATAAAGTGTGCGGTGGAGCTTGGCTGGTCTGTATCTTGTACCGTGGCTGTAACGCTTTGTTCCTGGGAGCAAAATCATCCCTGGTGCTAGGAATGAACTCCTGCTGAGGTAACCGATGATTCACTAGGTCCTTCTTCTTCTAGGACTGTACAAGAAATCAGGCAAACTAGTGTTTCTTGGACTGGACAATGCTGGAAAAACTACACTGCTGCACATGCTCAAAGATGACAGACTGGGACAACACGTCCCCACGCTACACCCCAGTAAGTAACCACTTTCTAGCTCTGGAACCTGCAATATTAGAAGTGTTGCAGGAAGAGCAGGATCTAATTATACATCGCAAGACCAACAGTGCAACTGAGGAGACACAAAGGAATTTCTGGGATTGTGTAGGTAGTTCAAGTAACATTCAGAAAAATGCATGTTGGATAGTTCAATTTGCTATATTTAAAATTAAGAAGCGAGTGACAAGCAGAATGATGGAGCTGAGAGTCTGGATTACAGGACATGTGGGAAGGTGGGGCTTGCAGTGTTTGGGAGCAGCTTCTCTGTTAGAAAATCAGCATTAAAAAAAACCAAATCATCAAAAAAGAAAATCAAATCATCACTGTTTTGATTTTGGGGTTTTTCTTGGCTGAGAGGTTGCTGTGTAATTGTTATCCTGGTAACCTCACAAGAGAAAAACTTCAGCACTGGTTAAAAATGTGGATTGGTGAGGTCCAGTAAGGAGGTGAGAAATGAGGAAGGATGGGAAGAGGAGAAACCTTAAGCAGTGTTATGTGTGAAATGCCATCTCTGGGACAGACCAGATGCCAGAGCCAACTATTGTTTGTGTGATGTGTAGGGATAAATAATGTACGGACGTCCTCTGCTATTCTTAGCACTGTCGATATTTCACACGTGTTTTAATGGCTAATAGTGTGTTGTTGTTAAACAAACGCATCACTATTTTTTGAGAGAAAATGTTATTAGTCCTTGAATAACAAAAATATTGAAAAGACCAAGAGAGAAAATAAAATCTACAGGCTAGAATGTGAGACCATTCCAATGCACGGTATGATCTTCATAGCGAACGTAATTCTGTGTGTTTCCAGCTTCAGAAGAGCTGACGATTGCTGGCATGACTTTCACTACCTTTGATCTGGGTGGACATGCTCAAGGTAAGAGAATACAGTGACTCACCTCACTGAATTGTCTACAGTCCATTTGTTTGGGATCAGAAATCTGACCATGCTGCGGAGATCAACTTCCCCCGCTCTGAGAGTATAAAACCCAGCCACTGCTCTGTCTGCACCATTTATCACAAATACCAAATGCAATTTTATAAAACCCAGCCACTGCTCTGTCTGTCTGCACCATTTATCACAAATCCCAAATGCAATTTGGCAAGAGCAGCAGTGGAGCAGAAATTTTTGATGGGTATCTGTATTGTGAAGAGGATTCTGTACTTTGAATTGCTTACATTTACCTTTAAGCTTTTATGTCAACAAAGGTAAGTTCTTTGAATCATAATTCTTGGGAGGAAAAACAAGGTTTCAGTACCTCAGTGTGCATGTGGGATAGGTAAATTGATGGTACCAGGAAAGGGAATGAAACTTCAAGCTTTGTAAAACATGAAATTGCATCCTGAAGACTGGCAACATAAGCTAAGACTTAAAAAATAACCCAAAAACCTGTTGCTTCTTAATTCCTGATGTGCATCACTGAATTTTGGGATAATTTCCTTTTGTTTTTGATTCACATCTTCCCTGTAGCTCGCAGAGTGTGGAAAAACTATCTGCCTGCAATTAATGGCATTGTGTTCTTGGTGGACTGTGCAGATCATGAGAGATTGCTTGAATCAAAAGAAGAACTTGACGTAAGTTCAAATAAGTTGTTGAAAATTTTAAGTTCTAAGAAATAAGCTCAAATTCCCGGTATCCAGCAGAACTCTGCTGCCACAAGTAACAGCGATTTGGCCTTCTGTGTTCTAATTAATCTCTCCTTCTCCTTTTCTTCGTAGTCACTAATGACAGATGAAACTATTGCTAATGTGCCTATCCTAATTCTTGGTAACAAGATTGACAGACCTGAAGCCATTAGTGAAGAGAGGTTACGAGAGATGTTTGGCCTGTATGGCCAGACAACAGGAAAGGTAATGCTCCTTTTCTTTTTTGTGATTTTGGGGTTTTTTTGTTAGGGAGTTTGTTTGCCTTATCTGTGTGTTGACTCCAGTTCACTCCAGCTACACAAAATAAAAGTTTAATTTATAAAGTACTTAGTAGATAATTACCATATATGAAAGGATTTCTCTAGTTTCTTTTTGTGTGCATTAGATGCATCTCCGCTACAACCTTTTTACATCATATTTAATGCCACATTTTTTCAGAGAAAACCTAATTCTGCTTGTGATAATGTTTAGTACTTCAGCTTTCCTATGCACTACTTTAAAGGATGAGCTAGTTTTCAGAGGCTGTAGTTCTAGTGAGAACTGTAAGACTTCATCCAGTTTTCTCTTTCAGTAAGTGACTTTTCTCATTTAAAGTGCAGACTTAGGATAATTTTTTACTTAGAAAAGCTTAGAACTAGATTTACACCATTGCAAAAGTCTGAGTTCGTAGGTTGTGAGGAAAAAAGTAGTTCCTACTGGCATCAGTAGCAACAAGGCAGTTTTATATTATGGATCTTTGTGATACTTCTACCTTTCCTAATTTAAAGTAAATACAGTGTACTCCTTGTAGGAGACATTTGGATACAGGGTGCTAGAAACAAGTTGCTCCATTGTCCTTTGCCCTTGGAATGACACCTCTCTGCAGCTGACATGGCCATTCCAGTGTGGCCTCCATCCCAGCGCCCACTGGATGACCAGCAGTGTGGCTCTGCTGAGGGGGTCACCTGCACCTGTAATTCCTCTTGTTCTCTAGGAGTATTTACCTAGAGGCCTCTCAAAATTCAGCACCAGTCAGAGCTTAGGTCGAGCGGGAGCAAATCTTTATCTCCTTGTTTTCCATGTGAAAGAGGATCGCACAGGTTAGTGTTAGAATAGGTGTAATGACTATAAACAGTTACTACTGCCTTTTCTTGTGTCCTGCCCTGGATTTTTCAACACTGCACGTAGTCTATGAAGTATGGAAACCATTGTCAGTCTCCTGTTGAGCCGCAGCTTTATTGCACTGTGCTGGTCTTGGCAAGCAAGCGACTCACGCTCTTGCTATGGTTAATTCTACAGTTTGTGGCAAATCTTCTTATCAGTTTGGAAAGCTGTTGGAAACAGGGCAGGGAACTGCATCTGAAAACCACGTATAAACTCTCAAATTCTCTGTGCACTGCTTACTGCTGCCTTCTGGTTTCATGTCCTTCACGGTCTCTGAGTGTGGATGTGTATATCAAAGTGTTTCCTGTAGTTCTTAAGTGACCCTAATCTTAGTTACATGTACATGGTTTAAATGAATTTATTTTCCATATTTCCAGTATCCAACCCACGTTACACAATGGCATTCCATAGAAACAAATGTCCATGTAAAGTAGCTGTCTCTACAGAACGATTCTGTAACTTGGAGTACTTCTGTCTCTCTGCAGGGAAGTGTACCACTGAAAGAGCTGAACGCAAGGCCGCTAGAGGTGTTCATGTGCAGCGTGCTAAAGAGACAAGGCTACGGGGAAGGCTTCCGCTGGATGGCTCAGTACATTGATTAATGCCAAAATCCTACCCGTACATTCTGTCCCGTGTCTGAATATTGAGTCTGCTCCTTTTTTGATCGCTCAGTGTACGTAACTTGAATTCATTTGACTGTTTAGTTATAAAAATATACATTTTTAGCCAATTATATCACGTACGCTAAATTGTAAGTGGGAAGATTGAAAAATTATTTCAAGCAAGTTTCTAAGTTGAAGTACCACAACCTGTGAGCTTTCTAATCCCATGCAACATTCTTCTGCAGCTTTTAATTTAACGAGTCTCCGGCACCGGTTTTGGTCAGAGCAACTTCCAGTACAGTATGTTTGAATGCACTTTTTAACAGCTAAAAACAACAAACGTGTGAAAAATATTTAATGCTTATGTTAAATTTTTTTATGTACTTTTTTGAAACTGGTTTTATAACTTTAGAGTATATAACCATCTTTCAAAGAATAATAAATAACTAGCTGATGGATAATTGCATGATGCCTTACGGTTTTCAATAATATACTTTCTTATGCAACGTCATGCAATAAATTTAAATCCAGTTTTTTGGCAACTTTAATGGAAAATGTTTCATTTTAACGTGTCTTAACTAGTGAGGCTGCCTGAGGATCTGAAGATGTGGGATATTTTCCTGAAACACAGAAGGCCACAAAGTAGTTTCATTGTATGTTAGAGTAAGGTGTTTTTTTCAGACTACCAAATTGAATTTATTTTAGGATTTTGCATTAGTAAAAGAAAAATCTAATCTGATGCCCTTATAACCATCACCTTTAAAAAGTACAAATAATGTAAATCAGCTCTGCCAATGCAGATCTTGAATTCATGTCAAAAGTGGTCTTATTCTACTGGTCTCTTGAATTAAACCCCTGAATGACACAAGAAATACATGGTTTTTTTCTGAAGAAATTAATAGTATAATTGCACTAAATAATCTTTTCCTAATTTAGTTAGATCTGGGGTCTGCCAGAAGAGTTTCCTATGAAATTGCCAGGAAAACCAGAAAAAGTTGCCATTGCTGCTTGTGCAAATTTATCAGCCCACACACAATCACCCAATTTTCATTTTTGGTGTTTTGAACTGGGACAAGATAAACTGGTTCCTGTAGTTTTTCCCTGAAGTGTGTTTTTCCCTGCCAGTGTGGCAGCTGCTGGCTGCCCGGGAGGCTTTTTTCTGGGGTAAAACTTGGCTATCTGCAGTCCTTGTCTCCAGGCGTCTGACTGCTTTTCCCCATCTTGAAGTGCATTAGTTCCTTGGGGAGAAAGCAGGTTTATAATTTTTTTTTTTTTTTTTCCTTTTTGAAGAAGCAGCACGTGTTTGTCAATGCCTTGTTGACGCTGCCACGGAGCTGTGGTTGGTGTTTCCGCGTGCTGGGGATGTGTGATCCATCGCACGCAGGTAGGGTGCCAGCCCTGGGGTCATCACTTCACTCTGGGTTTGAGTTTTGCTGTGCAGTTTCTTCCCCCCTTACAAGAGTACGAACCGCTGTGAGTGTGTTTACTGCATCCCTTTTACTCACGGTTGTAGGTAAGATATTCAGGCCTTACGTTTCCGATATCCGTGGCAGCAAATGTCTTTCTGGCTGGTTTGATTTAATAATTGACCTGCTGGGCTTGAATCTCAGATTCAAAAGCCTGTAGGCTCACTGCAAATAAACGAGACTTCTTCCTTGCCCAGATCTGAGCTTGTGTGATTGAATATTGATGATCGGTCCCCAGCAGTCCTCGATTCTGCACCTGAATAATTCAGAACCTAACTAATGTAAATTGTAACTGAAGTTTATTGCCGCACAGTCTTATGCGAAGTCTTCAGCGTGGTTTGCGCATGCTGAACTTCAGGCTGAGGGTATCGGATAGCTGTTCCAAATGGCCAGCATAAAAGGATTCTGCACTTAAGCTACTGCTCAGCTGGAGAGTAGTGTCTCTTGCATAAATCAAAACTGGAGGTAAGAAATGGCCTCTGCCCAGCATGTGGGCAATATATGAGTCTTTACTGCCTACAGCCGTTACGCAGGGGATGTGCCTCTTTTTGTTGGGTTTTTTTTCCACCTCTAGATTTTTCTGATCACGGTTATAATGGCAGAGAACAGCAACTAAATCAGCAGATGGTGTAAATATTAAAAAATACTACTTGCAGTCACATTGTAGTGTTGATGTGGGAGACTTGGGACTGTTGCCTGTGCTTATGGAAATGAAGCTGGAGGTGTCTTGCTGCAGACCACTTCTGCGGGCTGAGCCATGGCGTGGGCACTGAGGGGTCCCCTTCACCTGCTCTTCCAGCCAGCGGTGGATAACTTACCAGTAAGGAAAGGCTTCGTAGTATTAAGAATTAAAAAAGAAGGGAGGTGATACTGCTTTAAAAGTGTGTGTTAAGAGTAATTCTTAGTATTATGGAAATACTCAGATTTGGTGTTTCCTGCTGTAGGATGCTAGCTTAAACGTGGTTGCAATAAGGGCATGAAAAATCTGGACCTTGTGTGTATCCACCTGGGTATTGTGATGGTTCCCGCTGTGGGATTCAACACTGGGTTAAGTACACAGCTAATCTCCCTGTTTCCTTCAGTGGGGAAGAACCTTTCTTCTGTAGTTTACATTGTTGTGCACACGAATGTGGATGGATGTTGTGTGTCTTTGTGTGAAGACTTCATTAATTGACAAATATACTGATGAGAGTGTTTTCTGGCGGTTTTCATCCCCACCCCCTCCACATCTCCCCCGTCATTAATTTCTGGAGGTTTCTCATTCCTACCAATGTGACCAGTTGTACTTATCTTACAGAGAAGCTACGTGTCTGGGTCCCACTTTGAGAAATTACTTTTTTTTTTTGCACTCTGACTATGCAGATTTCAATTAAACATCACTTGAAAGAATGTGAAAAAGAAAACTCATTAATAAAGACATTATTTATCAAGTGTCTCATTTTGGTTTTACATGGCAACAGCTCTTTAAGAGAAACGAATGCAGGTTTCGGAGATGCTGATAACCACTTCTGACCAAGTGGCCTGTATTTCACTGCAGTGACACCACACCTAGCACGTAGGAGTTGAATAAGGTTTGTTTTGCTTGAATTTAATTAAACTTGGGGTTTAGTGTGTATTATGTAACGGGGAGGCGCTGCTATATTTCAGTCTGGGTTTAAGAAATTCTTCAGTAACCATTATTGGCATTGGAGATGGGAAGGATCTTTGAGTTTTCTCATTAATCTTGATCTGGCGAGAGGATCAGCTCATGGATATTTCTGTATTCGGTGCTCAGGTGCTGTCTGTGACAAAGATGCCCCGTGGCATTCACTGGAATGCAAAACCTGCACGCGTGTGAGCTTTGTTGTAATGGTTGGAATCAAATGTCAAACGGAACATGTGGCGGCCACTTATTTGTAACTGACGTCGGGTCAGAGAAATGACAGCGGTGGTCTCCGGTCCCAGTGAATCACAGGTCTGCTTGAGGGCAAATTGTCCACGTTTATGCTGTCGGAGTATTTGGTCGTTACCAACCAAAAGTCCAGTGTTTCTGTTGACTACAACGTGCTCGGGTTCGGTGTAGGAAACGTAATTGTTGTAATGGACTTACACAGCCTAATCCGCTGGCTCTTGGTGGGGACACGTAAGGTCTGTGCACTCAGATAAAACACTGTTTATCTCTGAGGGGAACTGAACATTTTCTGTTTTGAACTGTGGGTGCTCTGAATGTTTAAAAGCATCATGTATGTAATAAACTGCAGAAGAGAAGCTAAAGGTGAAAGTGGTCTTAAACATGTTCTTAATGTGGTGTTTGTTATGTTATCCCAGCCCGTGCTCGAAATTTAAGTATTGGGAATAGAATTCTCACTTGGAATGTGACAAAAATGAGTTTTAAATGGATAGTTCTTGTCAAATTATCAAAACCAGGAAGAAGTGTGCTGACTTCGTACATGGTCTAGTAGGAGTTTGTTTTTTTTCCCGGCTGGCTGTAATAATAATTCAGCCTGTTCTTTACTAGGGCTTCTGTTCCTGAATGCGTGGAAGGAAATCCTCTACTCGGGAAAACTCTCCAAGCATGAAAAAAAAAAATGACGTTTCCTTTGTTGCAGCTTCAAAATGAGGTGGAAGGATCCGATCTCAGGGGCGGACGAGATGTCCTTAGCGTCCGCCGCCTGCGGCTGGTGGGGCTGCCCCGGGTGGGGGTTGTGCAGGCACTTGCCAGCAGCCTCCGCCGTTTGACACGACCCAAGGAAAGCGTGTTTTCCAACCCTTTCCACATCCGTTCTCCAATCCTAAGTGTGTGTTCCCCTTAGTTTATATTTTCCAAATTGTTCCTTACTTGGCTGCTTCTGGACTAGAATTGGGGATTTGTTTGAGCAATCATGGGAAAACCCTTGTTTTGTTACAACCCCGTTTCTTACGTGAGCGTCCCATCGCAGTAAGAAACTCATAACAATATTTTAGAGCCTTTGGTGCCTTTCATTCCAGGATCTTGAAGCTTTCTGCCTGCTAACGCTGCCTCGCCTCCTTGTGAGGTGGAGGGCTCTTGTGTTCGGCCCGTGAAGAAAGCGAGGTCGGGAGGGACTAGGTCATACCCGATCGCTGCCTGAGTAAGAGCTCCAGCAACCACCTTGAGCATCAGACGAAGCAATTCCTCCCGGAACTCGGGCACCGTATGTCAGTCGTCTGGAGAGGAGACGAAAAGCCTTCACCATGTCACCATGCGAAGAGAATCGCACAGACCCCGTGTAGATCGGTGACGTTCTGGGTCCCCTCCTCTCGTATGCCTGCGGTCGTCGCAAAAAACTCCTCTAAGCTGGTGCCCCCAGCTGTGACAATACTGAGTAGATGGCAAGTATCTGTGTTGTTCTAACCCGCAGTGCGTGGAGTGGGTGCGGAGCTTGGCTCTACTTGTAGTTTCTGATTCTCTTTCCTGAACGTCTGGCGTAAATAAACACTGTCGCTGTAGAAGAATTTAAAGGGGTATTTTCGGTATTTGTGCTGAAATGCCTGGTTTTGGTCCAGGCAAATAAGAATGTATATTGTTGTGTTTGACTTCTCACCCTGCCAAGGGAATACTTCACTGTGAGAGTGGATTCACTCCTGGGAGCAGCACTAGCTGGAGCAAACCCTTGGCAGTAACTTGGGGCAGAGATGAGCTGTTGGAGACTTGATCTTGGCAATTCAGTGATACCTGAGAACCCAAACCCGGGAGCAGATAGAGCCGGCCTGTTGCCGAGGGCTCTGCTGTGACGAGCTCGCAGGAGTATGTGCCCATGGGGAGGCTGAGCTAAGGGGGGGAACCTGATTTACCCTGCCGAGAGGGTCTGAAGTGGTTCGGGTTTTGCAGCACGTGGAGTTTCTGAGCTGCTTTTCCGTGACAGCGTGGCTCTTGAGGGGAAGGTTGGAAGTTGTTTTAAGTGAGTTTGGCTTAAAAAAGCCCAAAAACAAATCATCTTTGTTAAAGGTTCGTTGAAACCGAAAAGCGTAGGTAGTGGCAGCGAGGAGGGGGTCAGCACTGGGGGCTGTGGCGCAGGGGCTGGCCTGCAGGTCGTGCGAGCGTCTCTAGGAGACGCTTGACCAGGTTCCTGGCTGTGCAAGGA